GGCTGGGGCTTCGGCTTCGACTGCGACTGAAATTGGAACTGAAATTGCAGCTGCAGTCTGTCGGTCCGTTGCCCATTGTGGTCTGTGGCCGGCACCCGCACATTGTTGTACGCCAAAATGTTAAATTCCAATAAAAATTTGTAGAAACTTGCGCGGCCGCCACATGGACTGGATCGGGTCATGCCGTCCGTCCGACTGCCCGAGTTATTTCCCCCCAAACGGATTAGGTAATGGCCGGGGGTGCCTTTCACTAGTTGCCGCCACACAAAAGACCAGCAGACACTCATTTTGGTCTGTAATTTATTTGTATAGGCCATAGAAATTAGTTCAACAGCAGCAGCAGCAGGCAAAGTAATTCCCGCCCACTGCCAAAATGTGAGTGCCAGGGCACTTGACTCTAGATCTCGGGCAGTTGTGCAACAATTAGTGCAGTTGCAGGTGAAAGGCACAAATCCTGGCAGTCAATCAGCCCCCCCCACAGATCCCCCTTTTGATTGCGCCTTTAAATCTATTGAATATCACTTTACAAGGCGCAGCTGTCAGCGGTTTCTATAATGAATTGTTCCCGCAGCACAGCACAGCCGCATTGTCTCTCAAATTACATGATATCATTCCCAAACGCAACAGCCAGCGGACAACAGCACTTTTTGGGGCACGTGACAAGGCTTTGGATCAGATAGGAATTTACATACACAGCAATGTATTTTTTCTCTTTTTGGTGGCTGCCCAAAAGCAGTAGCCAGATCAGAGATTGGAAACTCGAAAGATAATCTATTTGCTTGGACATTTGCTATTTGCTTCCAGCTACAGAAACAGAAGGCAGCGGGGAAAGTCTCATCCGTGCGGGTGGCAATCTTGGTGGCCACAAGTTGCAGCCGCTTGTCAAAGGTCGCGGCAAGCGAAAGTGACTTTGGGCACGCCCATTTCTTTATTTTGCAGACTACCAAAACCCGTTTCCTGCGCTTGCCACAGCTGCATGCCACAGCTGCACTGTGCGCACTGATGCGCACTGACCTACATCCCAGGCGCGCTGATCCAGCCTGAAGGGGCGCAGTTCCAGGTTGCGCAATCTCTGCGAGAAATGTCTATAACCTTCGCATTGGGAGAGCCAATGACATCAATAAAATAGCTACAAAATAGCGCACAATCATTTCGGTAAATGATTTAATTAAACTTAACAGTCGAACAACAAAAGTCAGAGCCCAGAGCCCAGTCCGTGGTGCCCCGCACCATTTCAATTTCAATTCCAATTCCCATTCCAATTTGGAATCGTTGTGGCTTAGCTGGATGTGAATTGGTTCGAGTGCTTTTCAAGTGTGTGACATATTGGCGTCAAGTTCATAATTCACAATTTATCTCATTCCGATATGAACAAAAGGCGACCAAGTGGCGCTGATCGGGCGACATTGATTGCGATGATCTGGAGCCAAGAGACTTATGGCCATACCAGAACACTCCACACACAGGCCATTGTGCAGAAACTGGTCTGCTGATCGCGGAGTGTTTCCGTTTTGTTTCTCAAGTTTTTTGTTTTCTGTTTGGGGTTCAAGAATAAAAGGGAATTTTTGTTTGGCTCTTTTTGCCAATTGAATGATTATGCCATACACTTATGTACGTATGGTTTAGATGAGTTTCTCTCTCTCTCTCTCTCACTCACTCTCTGGGAAAAAGCCTTTTCTTACGCTTTATTTTCTGCTGCCTTTGCATGGCTTCCCCCCTGTGCATTTACCCTTTGTTTGTTTTTGTGTGTTTTCTGTTTCATTGTTGGCTCTTCTCTGCTGTTGTTGTTTTTATTTCCCTCTCATCATCTTTCGGTTTCGTATCTTCTTTTGCCCCCTGGTTGGACTTGAACTTTGTGCGTGTGTTTTGGATTTTTCTCATCGTTTTGTACACGAGTATTTCATGTTTCGTGTTTGTCAAGGCTCTGGCTCTCAGCTGTGTTACCAAACGGGGTACAGTGACTACTCGTACAGTGAGACTGAAGTGGGTTTGTCGCGGCACCCCCTATATCTCAACAGCAAATGCTGACCCCAAGGCATTGTAGCTGCTTAGCAAATTGGCAACGCTCGATTGGAGGCCCTAATAATTTGTAATTACCAAAAAACACAAAACAAATGCCTGCCAGGTGGGGAGGTGCGGCTGTGTGAACTTGACTTTAATTGGCTTTCCTTTCAATGTAAAATAATGGTAATAAAATGCTCATAAAACAGGCCACACGAGAGTGCCAACCACAATGAGGATTCTCTCTCTCTCTCTCTCTCTCTCTTCGTCTCTCTTTCTGTCGCTTTTTGGGCGTCTTTCACTTTTCATTAACGTGTCGAATGGCGGCTTGGCTGTCGTTATGCAATGCCGCATGCCACACATGCTTATGAGGGCTAATCTCCCCTGCCCTGCCCTGCCCTTCGTCTCATTGAATATGGATTACCAAACTGTAACAAGTGCAAAACGATACTGAACTCCCCCCCCATGTGCTGCATACTAAGATACTTTTTTCCACCTGCTACGCCCACGCGGTACTGGTGGAGCCACTTGGCAGTGCCATCAGCTTTTATGATGCCATCCAGTGCCGGACAGTGGGCAAGTGTTCATAATTTGATAATGGCATCAATTAAACTTGATTGCTGGCTGCTTTGTTGTTGGCCATAATTAGCACCCAACTGAAACTGAAATGTTTATAAGGCATTAGTCGAGAGCTTCTGCTGATGTACAGACAGTGCCATTTAGTTGGGGTCTGAGCTATGCGAATACTCAAGTTTTCGGGCAACATTCCGCACAGAAATGAAGTCATATTCGCTTCAGCAAATTAAGTGGCGGATAAGTGCAAGACATGTCGTATGGCATGGCTTCGTGGATACCCTGTAAACCCTATATATAATGATATATTTCTCACTATTCGGTTTGTCAAACGAACATCGAAAAGTGTCAGCAGACGCCCAAAACTTCGTAACAAACAAAAGACTTAGGCAACGAACTTTGCGCATCATTTTACGCGCCGCAGATTTCTGGACAGCAGCATTCCTATCATTGTTGCTGCATGCGTCAATCATAATCATAGTGATGATAATCATCATCATCATCATCATCATCTGGGAAGAGCAGCGCTAACATTTTCATTACATTTTGATGGATTCGGTGCACTTTTGCTTCGCTGTCAGTTTCAGTTTCAGTTTCAGTTTCGGTTTCGCTTCGCGGGGGGTGGGCGCTCATTTTCATTTGTGCAGTCAAACAGGTTCGGACATGTTCTTCGCCCCCGGAGTGGGGCCTGGGGCGTGGCGTGCACTTGCTGCATTCAACATTCAAGCGTTATTTATTTCTTACACATTTTTAATTGCCTGTCACATAGATTCCATGGCAAGATCTCTGCGCAAATCGATGTTGTGGTGCCTGCGCGGGGCAGGCACTCTGACATTTGGCTTGACCTTCAGAATGCCATTAGAATAAGCAGCGCATCGGTGTCCATTAAAACGAATCAACCTCCAAATATAGACGGATAAAGCACCGTTATTCGAATGGAGCGGCCAGCTTTCAAGCAGCGAAATGATAAATAAAACCAAATTAATTTGTAAAAACGATCAAAAAAGGAAGCGACGCCGAGAGATGTCTGCTGATGATGTAATTAAGGCGTAGAAAGCTAAGCTCATAAAAAGAGTTATGCAGCGAGAAAGAGCGAAGAGAGAGAGAGAGAGATTGATGACCGCTGAAATGTAAATGAGATTCGTTGAGAATTATGGCCTGTCAGTGTCAGTGGAAAAGGTTCCTTGACCACAAGCTCTGCACTGCACCACATAAACCGCTGCTTAAGAGAGCCAAAACGAAGCAAGAGAGCAAGAGCAAGAGCAAGAGCGAGAGAGACCACTCTTAAGCGAAGGCAAGAGCTTTCGATCGCAGCAAGCTTTGGACACGCTAAATGCTATTAAGCCAACTTAGCCATGAAGCGGCAAGGCGACGAAAAACCAGCAACAAAAGCACACAGCACAGAGAAAAGAAATACCCAAGCTGGCTGGCAGGCAGCTGGCAGGGCAGCAACGTAACCAAACTTACGGTTAGTGGCTTGGAGCCAGGCCAGCGTTAACTTCAGCTCCATTGAGGTCTTCAGTCGTGTCGCGACAGTCCCCGAGTGCGTTTGGGTTCCCCGTTCGATCGATCATCGTCGTCCGCCGGGCCAGCAGCAGCAAAGCAGCACTCTCTCTCGCTCCTACCCCCCCGCAATCTCTCTCTCACAAAGCAAAATAAAGTCAAAGAGCAGCAGAAGAAGAAGTCCAAAATAAAGTCAAAGAGAAAGAGAAAGAAGTAGCAGAAAAAAAGCAGAAGGTGAACAACAAAAACAAGCAACCAACCATCTTCATTAACATCATCATTATCACAGTCATCATCGTCATTCCACATTCACGAAATCTTGTGCGCGCGATCGTTATGCAATTGAAGTGCGTTCAAACAAAAAAGCTTCGATAGCAACCATCCAAAAATAAACAACAACGAAAAGCCAACAAAACTTTTGATTTAATTAATAATTTGGAAATTAGAAATTTGCGTGTGTGTGTTTGTGTGTGTGTGTGTGTGTTTGTGTGTGCTTGTGCCAGCCACGGATCCGAACTGATACAAAGCGATCCGGGCAACGGTAAATAACGAACATCAAGCGGGTTTAATAGACCTATAAATACTGCTGGTAATACGCGTTTCTGGCTGTCCAAAATTAAATGCCAAATTAAATATTGAAAAATTATTGCAAACTCGTTTTTTTTTGTACAAATACAAATATCAAGCTAAAAGCTAAAGCCACAGCAGAAAGAAATAAAAACAAAAACAAAAACAACAACAACAAGAGAAAAGTGAAATTATCAAAGTGAAAAGCAGAAACGCGTTTGGCATTTATAAAATCGTTATAAAATGAAATTGTAGCAATATTACAAAATCAATAAAAATTATTATTATAGCAAAATCATTGTTACAGCCATTACAAAAATAAAAGATAAAAACAAACTGCATACCAATCGGAATAGGAAAAGGAATAGCAACAACAACAACAACCACAACAAGAGCAACTGTTGGGGGGCAAACACTTTTCCTCAAACTCATTTGGCAACGCAGCTCCCTCCTGGCCGTCTCTGTCTCTGTCTCTGTCGTCTGTCTACCACGGCTACGTAATCATTGGGAAAATATCAGCAATTTTGCAACAGTTTCAACACAACAACAACTGCAACAGCAACAGCTACAGCAGCAGCAGCAGGGGCAGCAACAGCAACAGCAAAGGCAACAAAAGTAATTGAGCAAAACACAAAAAAAAAAGTAAGGTGAGTACAAGAGAGAGAGAGAGAAAGATCACAAGACCCACGACGACCCACGACACGCATGCAAAGCAGAGAGCAGAAACCCTAGCCCTGGAACCACCTGCACACCTGCCTTCCGCCTTCCAGGAAGAGCCCCAAGAGAATGCCATTCATAATCGCACTTTTTTTTGCACTCCCTCTCTCACTTTTATGGTCTAACTGTTGTGTGTGGCTCTGGACTTCCTGCTTACGCGTTATTTTGTATTTTTTTCATGCCCAAGCAGACGGGCTATAATGACTTTGATTAGCACAAAAAGAAGCAATATCCGAATCGAGGCAGCTTTTGCTGCTAATACTGGATCTGCTAGAGTATTCATATTTTTACCCCTTTGAAGCTACACTTCCACGCTTTTTGAACTGCTGTTAATACACTTCTGGCCATGTTTCAGCCTCAGCCTCTGCTTCGGGGTTTCATTTTCATTTAAATGCGAACAGAAAAACACAGAGAAACCGAAACAGAAACAGGGCCCAAAACTACAACTAAAAGCTGGCTTCCTCAAGGTTGACAACGTTTCTTGTTGTGTGTTTCGTGTTTCCTTCTCGCCTTTTGATTGCGTATTCATATTGTATTTGAATATGATAATGCTTTAAGCAGCCAAAATAGTTCCGATTTGCCACCAATTAAGACGATTAGTGCGGAATTAGCGGCACAATGTCATGTGAACTCTGGCTGGATCTCTCTCTCTCTCTCTCTTTTCAGGAGATATGTAGGCCTGTGGTGTCTCTCTGTGGGGTATATGGCCCTGAAAATCATCCAGACATGGACAGATGGATGAGCTGTCTTGTCTTCCAAGCAGTCAGCACGCCTTCGAAAGCGAATGCATTCAAAACCAACAAAAAAAGATGCAGCTAAAAAGTGCAGTAGGTGTTGCCATTCCGATTTCGATTGCGACAATTGCCCCCCAACACTCGGCACTCGGCTCGACGCTCGACGGCTTGAATTTCGCAGAAGGGAGGAAGGAAGTCGATGTCGGAATGAGTTGGCAGTTCCACATTGGCTTTTGGCTGCCTGCGGGGCCTCAGTTACAGCTTCTCATCGTCATCTGCGTTCATCATCGTTGTATCTCTGTAGTTTTTGTTGTGGGAGTCAATTAGTGTGCAAAAACGAAGCAGGAGAGGGAGATGCTGAAGCTGCTGCTGCCATGGCACCCAATTATGCAGCCATAAATGTAAACAATCGTGTAAAAGACCTCTAAAATGAGGTGTTCCTCGGATGCTGCTGGCTCAAAGAATTGCTGAAATCTGTCTGGGCAAAAGTTCAGCAGAACCTGCAGACAATACTATAACCGTGGTGGCATACCTAATGGGAAATGTCAGTCAGTCAGTCATTCATTCAGCCAGCCAGTCAGCCAGCGAACAGACCAGACCAGACATCCGCGCAGTTGACTTCATTTACATTTTCCCAACACCAGCAACAAACAAATGAATGAACAAATGATTTTAAGCCGAAATTGCTGGAAACCCCCACCGAAAATGTAAAAAAAAAGGTCGCGCAATAGTGGATTTCATTTTGTAACTTTGTAAACATCCAGAAAAGGAAGGGAATGCGACTTGCATCGATTAACCAGATGGTTCGCTCGATAGATTTGCCAAAACTTCAAATTCCAATGGGGAATTTGCATTTGACCGATAAACCGTTTCTTCTTTCACTCTCCACCATTTCTTTTCACGCTGCGCATATTTCATGAGCACAGCTCATGGGCTCTCTTCCATTGTTTTTCATTCTATTGGAATTCCCTTCCATTCCCTCTTTTTATATTCCTACTGCCAAAATGGAGAACTGTTCATTAGCTGCCAAAGTGGGTTAATGTCATGCAGTCAACATTCTTTATAGATAGAAAGAGAATTATGGCCAGAAATTACTGGGCTGGAGATACATATAATGAGAATACAGCACTATTTCAGCCACATATTAAGAGCTAAGAGATCTATTACCCACAGCTGTGAGTACGAGTGTAAGAGCTAATAAACTCGTTAATGTTGTGGCGCCACAAAAGTGTGAAGGAAACATTAAAGCTGATACTGAGAGCACGTGCCGCGGTGCTTGTAGGTGATTAGCCAGACGGCAGACGGTTAGACACAGAGATAGATAGAGATATATTCGTAGATAGATTGAGAGATGGATATATACATAGATACATCGAAGATGATGGCCTTTAACGCCTCGGCTGCAACCGCACAACGCGGCTCCAAAAGTGCCAGAGAGACGTCGGCAGACAGCAGACAAAGGCATCTATCTCTCTTTATTAAAACATTATTTCGTTTTTCTATTGTTGGAAAATAAATTGCATTTTAAATACGTAGCCACTCTCGCGTAGGCAGTAGGCAGCAGCAGCTTCCATGGATGGATGGAATGGGATGGGTATTGGGATGCCCTGACTCAATCAGCTGAACAAAACACTTGAATGAAAATATTATGATCTTTCTTTGGGATTGTTGTAACACACGAAACTTCCGCTCGACATCATCATCATCATTATCATTATCATCATCATAAGCATCAGAGTAGCAGCAGCAGCATCAGCTGAAAAGTGAAAACTTGGATGATTTGTTGATTGCAAACATTTGATAAGCCCCAAACTGAATGAAAAAAGAAATGGTAGAAAGGTTAGAAGAGAGAGAGAGACGCAGCGTTTATTAAGCCAACTAATGATGGTCAACGTAACGCAAGTACAACTCTCATTCTCTTCCTCTTCCTCTCTCTCTCTCCTCTCTGACACTCTCTCTGTAGCTGACTGCTAAAAGAAATCGAGTTTCAGTTTCATTTTCAGTTTCGGTTTCAGTTTCGGCTCCAAACTCACTCGCTTGTGGAAAATGTAGTGCAATGGCGCTGTCATAGGTCTGCCGCAAATTGCTTCGTTTACAAAGTGAGAGACCAGACTGACTTTTCTCTGCTCTCCTCCCACGGGTATGTAGGCAGGCTTTTGCGGTGAGTGAGCGAGAGCGAGATGGGAAAGCATTTTGGAGCAGTTGAAGCGTGCAGGCGAAAACGAAAGCAGAAGCAAGCGGCGCAAAAAAAAAGTTGCAGTTGCTCTGCTTCTTTTACTACTCTTCAGTACCCTCTAAGCAGAGGGGTATATTCGCTTTAATTGGAAGTTTGTAATGGGAAGAATGAAAACAATTAACGATAGAAGAACACATTTCAAGTAGATTCTGATATAGAAATTTCTTAGTAAAATGCTCCAAAACTGAACAAATTTCCACAGAACATATCCTATTTTCAAGGGTATTGCATCTTTCGGCCATCATGGATAATGCTTTTCTTTCTTTGCCTTTTTTATGTTTGTTGAATTTCGTGTTTTTCCGTTGCTTTTTTCTAGTTGTTGTTGTTTTTGTTGCTATCTCCTCTTTTCACTCCTCTGGCTGAAGCTGTACATGTTTTGGCCAGGCTGTTTTTAGTCATGTTTTCGACCAGCGGATTTGTTGCACTGGTCTCGCGTTTTTGGCCTGGCCAACAAGTTGGAACGTAACGAAAGCATGCGGAAAAAATGCACTAAAAATTAAATGAAAGTGTCAACTTGTTTTTATCGCTTTTTGCTCGAATGAAAACCGAAAGCAAATTAGGCTGCATTTGCCATACTGTCGACATTATGGCCAAGAAAATCAGGAAATAATCAATTTTTATAATCCCATTACAAGTCCTTTTTCAACTATGTATCTTTATCTTTTTTTTCCATTAATTTCTTTACGTTTTCCCCCCAATGCTGGTTTTAAGTTTTCGTTGTACATTTTTCGTTATTTCAAATCATTTGATTTAATGCCCTAAGACGATTTCAAAAGGTGTCAAGCGATTTGTAAATTTACATTTTGAAAGTGCTTGCAACGGCAAGCAACAGCAACAGCCGCGGCCGCAGCAGTAAAAATCAATCAAAACCCCGACATAGAGCTAGAGCAAGAGAGACACAAGACATTCAACATTCGAAGATCTAACAAAATTGAAATGTTAATTTTTAGTTTTGTTTTTGTTTTTTTGGGGGGCTTTTCGTCTCCATCCCATCTGGCCAACCATCCATCCATTCACATCTAAGCATCCGTTCGTTCGTTTGGTTTTTTTTTTGGGGGATTGCGCAAAGCGCTGACAGTTACATGACTTTGAAAAGTTTCTCATGAATGCATGCATATACAAATATACGAATACACGATATGATTTAACATATTTTGGGCTTAATAATTGCCTGAATGATGAGCACGGCGCACAGATGGTGCCATGTGCGTGCCATGGATTGGATGGGAAATATTTGCGAAATCGAAATGCAACAAGTGGCTGCTTAAAGTTACTGTTTTGTGTTGTGTTGTGTTGTGTTGTGTTACCGTTGTGTTGATGGCTGTTGATGATGATATTCCGATACTCAGGCGATGCGCTGAGGTGTTAAATGCCCGGCCAACAAGTTCCGCAATGCGATTCCAAAGTTAAGTGCTTTGATTTTTGCATTATTAGCTCCGCTTCCCGATTTGAGCAATTTTGCATAATTTGCATCGCAGCCGCAGCCGCAGCACATAATGAAAACCTTAACCCCAAACGAGGAACTGAACCGTAGCCGAGTGCATGGCACGGGCACGAGCACGGGCATGGCTCCCTCCACGCCACTTTCACGGTATGCAAATTGAGGCAGTGCCGCGTGCAGAGCAGACGAGTGTTGGAGAAATATGATTAACTGGTTTTTGGGCGAAAAGGGTGTATGCCAGGAAAATCTATTAAAAGAAAACTCTGGAAGTATATCATATTGAAATATGTCTGTATCTACATACCGTGATATGCCATGTGCCGACATAAGCCATGTGTAAAATTAAGCGGATCACGAACCCTGTTGAAGTCTTCGCAGCATGGCTATTATTTGCACATATATCGATTCCATTCCCCCACAGAGCCAGAAGAACCGCAGCTCTTTCTTCGTCTCCTTTCCAGCCAAAAGTCAATGACTGCTTAATTTAATTTGGCAACAAATCAATGGCCCACGATATAC